CTTCCCTCTCTATGAAGGCTCTGTTACTCTTCAGAATTAGGAAACACCAATGGTGTTTCAAGGATGGCTTCAACATACCAGTGAAAGTCAGACGAACTTGTAGGAGCTCTTCGGTCCTTCCCCCCCCATCTGGTGTCGGGTTTAGCATCTCTAGAAGGGCTCATGAAAACACAGCTCAACTCTGCTGTTTATTAAGATGGTAGATTCGGTTTTAACAACTGTGGATCCTCTTACCAAGAAGCCGCTATGTCAGAAAAGTATAAGCAGCACTTGGAGGTCACTTACTCATGGAATTTTAATAAAGGAAAGAATGGTACTTAGAGTGACAGCATTCTTCATGTACTTACAGTGTGCAACAGCATCTTCTGCCCAGCTGGAACAAATGGGGAAACTGAGGCAAGTGACCAACACAAACACAACAGGAAGAGCCAATGTCACAGCAGCTCCAAGTGTTGTGTTTGGAAAATGCTTTCCCAAGAAGAAAGGAAAGCAAAACAGCTACCAAGCCCCTGTGATGCGAATGCTGGCATAACCATAAAACAACAGCATGATTGAAATGCATTACTTCAAAATTAAAATAAACAAGTGGGTATGAGGACTTGAGACTGTGATTTCCTGCAGTTTTGTATCTTGTGACCAGATTACCCTGTCCTACCTGAACAAGGTGCAAGCTCTGTTCAAAGCTCTTCCCGCAGCTGAGGCACTTCAGGTTCCTCCCCTAGGTGGGTTTTCCACTGCCGTCTCCTTCAGTCTATGCAGAAACTGCATCTCTCCTCTACTTGATCACTTATTTTCAAAAACTCTGGATTCTCCATATCCACACTAGCTATGAGTGACCAGCAGGTCCAAGCATTATTTGGAAAAGAAAGGGAGATGGACAGACAACCAGACAGCATGACTACGTAAGCCTCTTTTCCTTAGAAAACTTGGCTAAAAATACTGTAGACAAGCAGGTCCAGTTCTTCTCCAGAAAGCAACAAAATTGCACCAGAGTTGATTTTGGCCCAACATGCACTTGGCAAATACTGATAACAAGGATTTACCATATCCCCTCTAGTATTACAGCTGACAATAAAGCAAACATTTGCTTCCTACAGATAACAAAATGACTATGATCGCTCTGGGTTTGTAAAGGTTAGGGTTTCTGCTGTCACCCAAGGCAGGCCTATAATTCAAAGTGTCCAAGCAGAAAATCCCCTATATATAACACTGGCCCCAGTTTTCCCTCAGGTAGCCACTCACCTCACGCAGACACACAGTTTGGGATGGATTCCAGCAACAAATTACAATCAGATTAAAAATTAATTCCCATCTTAATTATATAACCATGACTAGGCTTAATGGCCAGGCAGCCATTTAAACAGGAGAGGAGCATGTAAATCGTGCAAGAAGTATCTCTTTACGCTGTAAATGACCAAACTGGGTGACAAGCACCTGGATTTTTCCCAGGGAGAACAGACAGCCTTTGGGAAGGCAGCTCCGAGGGAGGTAGAGTTCAAACCATCTGGCAAGCAATCCGGTATCAGGAATCACGAATTTGTGAGCCAACACAGGACAATGCAGCACCCTGCCCTCGGGATAGTTGTACACTCTAGTGACGAAGACTGTATACGTGCTGAATAGATATTGATGGATTTTATCCTCTCAACAGCTTCGACAGAAAAAAAAAAAAAAAAAAAAAAAACAAACGTGCAGCATCTCTACTTTTGTGTAAAGATGGGCCTTAAGGATACCAGAGCAGATGAAGCAACTGGCCCAGGATCACAGCAGGCGCTCAAGCTAGGTGTCCCACGTGTCACAGCAACACCCAGCCCACCCCAGCAGCTCCCAAACACAGGTGGCTCCGGTGCCCCTGATGCACAGCCCTGTGCCTTAGCACAGAAGCTGCCTCCAGCTCCAAATCTGGCTGCAAACATGCACACAGGGAGACTCGTCTCCCTTCTTCCCCAGGGAAAGGCAGATTGCCAAACATTTTCTTTTTAAATTATTACTTGCGCCACTCTGAAGTGGCTCGCGTACCATCAGCGATACGCCCATCCCGCGTGGGGCCCCCTGCAGCAGATCAAACTTGCTATAGCTGCCAAGAGAAAGTCTGCTGCAGAAGCAGGGGGGAGACATCAGAAAATTACTGGTTCTGCTTCACTTTGGACTCCAAGGTGGTGAAAGGAGAGGGCACAAAAAAAGAGGAAGTGAAGGAAAAAGCTAGGGAAAACAAAAACAGAAGCAAGCCTAAGCGGTTTCTCCTTCAGCCTCACACCACAGAAGAGAAACAGAAATGCCAGCAGAAATTTCCTCACTTTTGAGCACCTCTGTCATCAGGGCTCGGAGACTGGCTGTCATGACAGCCACAGCACAACAGCAGCAAGATCCAGCACGAGAAACCTGCCCCAGGAAACACGATACAGGTAAAACCCCACTAACACGGTGTGCACGAGTGTTTGGCATTGTCAGCACCCCCTGTTTCTTGGGGACTGTAAGAAACACCCCTTCTCTGCACCGCTCATCCTGCCTCCTTGCAACCCAGCCCACGGACAGGCAAAACTGCAACACCACAGCCAAGAGGGCAAGCGGATCTGCATGCAGGTGACGTCCTGCAAAGGGCAGGCGAGCGCAGCAGCGGAGACGCACGATCCCCGAACAATAGCAACACTGACTTCCCCAGGCAAAGGAACTAACTGCACGCAGCAGGCTGCCGGGTTACGCCGCCAAGATGAATGCGACAGGAAGGATAAAATAAATCAGAACTAAAGTTAGGTGATGTAGAAAAAGGAAATCTGTTCTATAGCAAGACGCCTTGACCACAAATCCAGATGACATAAACCCAGATGGATTTCAACTGACCCCCTGGATGGAAAGCTCAGCCCATTTCCCACCAACACGTCCCCTGTAGAGAGCCCCAAGGAAAGCAACCAGCACAACCCCCTTGCCAGAGTCAACTGAAGAGGGGTTGTTTTGTTTTGTTTTGTTTTTTTTTTCCTTAAACCCTTTCCTGCTACTGCAGGGAAAACAGTCTCAAAGTAGGACAGGCAGCAGGCTTTCAAAACACTGGATCACATCGCCAGCTTGTGTAAACTGGCACGGCTTCCATCAAGTCCACAGAGGGGGAAAGGTTTTCCAGTCTACTTCTCTCCTAAGTATTTCATACCCAGAGAGGCTTGAACTTTGGATCAAAACACGTGGGCTTTGGGATCAAATGCAAACTTTCCCCAAACCATTTCAACCCTCTGCCAAATTCATTTCAGATTGAAACAAGTCCATGTTTTTCTTTTCAGAATCAAACCCACCTGTTGGAAAGCACATCTGCATGTACCAAGTGGCACGTCCACAGACTGTGTGGACGGGCTCACTACCTCCCTATACAATACATGGCCCACTGAGAGAAAACAAACACAAACAGTTTTCACTAGTTGCCTAATCGCTTGCAAAAAAAAAGCAGAGAAGCCACAACTGCAAATTCCCGCAAAGCATCTGAAGTTTTCTTGTTGAAGTGGATTTGGAAAACAACATCCATTCTACTGCCCCCTTGTTTTTGTTTTTTTTTTAAATCATCATTTGCCATTACAGGCTTCAGGATCCACTTTGCTGTTTGCTCCGACATGCAGGGGACGCAGCTCCCACCCACCCCAGCTTACCCGTTCGTCTGCTGGTGGGGTCACAGACTGTCATCCATCTAGAAAAACCCACATGCACTAATGACAACGGGCCATTTACATGGACCGTTGGTCATTTCTACACACAGCTACCGTAACGCTGCACCTATATCCAATGATTACCTACCCCTTACGGGAGCTCAAAATGTTCTGAAAAGAAGAGAGAAAAGAAAAACAACGCTGCAGCTGTCCACCACACTCTATTCGCCCCCAAAAGGCTATTTTCAAAGACATAAAGACTAAACATCCTCTCCACTGTTATTACGTTCTGTCAAAACTGAATACAACATATAAAGGAATAAAAATGCGCAATGACATAGGAATGGCTCCTCCACTGCAATCCCCCGTTTAGGAGGCTCTTTTAAACGAGAGCAACTCCAAGGGCACACACATGGCTCACATTTTTCAGTGCAGCTCTGCCAGCCTACACCTTTCCAACCCCTTCTCCGGGATGCAGACAAAAGCTTTTGCGGGTCTGCGCACACACAGGGAACGAACCACGCACCCCGAGGTCCGACAACCCTCGATGCAAACTTCGACAGCAAAGGCAGAAAGTCCCGCCAGCGCGACAGGCGTACGTGTCCCCACACACGGAGCCGTTTGTGTAACGGTTGCAAAACGTGGGCGCGAGGAACACGGCTATTCCTCAGTCGCTTCCTTGCCCAACGGGACATCTGCCCACCCGGGTGTCCTGCGCTGGTGGGAGCGGGATGAGGGGAGGCGAGGGTCCCCGCCACGGCCCTGCCAAATACCTGGGCCTGCTCCGCGCCGGGCAAGCACTTCAGCCGCCGGCCAGCCTGGCACAGCAGCCATCCCTCCAGAAAAAACTCGCCACTGGCAAGGCAAAAGCCTGGGGGTCGCTGCTGCTGGCCCGCTCCCTGCCCCAGCCCGGTCCTCTGAGGTGGGGTCCCTGGAGGGGGACAGATGGACACACACGCCCTGTGTCACCCCTAAAAGGTGACCCCAAAGGAGGCACCGTCCCGACACGGGTTGAGGCCACAGTTGTGGTCATCACCCGACTCAGGGGTGGGGGACGAAAAGCAGCCGGGGGAGAGAAGGGGATGGGGTGGGGGGGGGGGTGAAAAAATGGCCACGGGGGAGGAGGGGGGTAGGCTACTGAAGGAGCGGGGAGAGGGCGACTGGTGAGGGGAATGGTCACTAAAGGGCTGCTACGGGAGGGGCAATAAACGGCGGGGGAGAGGGTCCCGGGCGCGGAGCGCATCCCCGCGGGGAGCCGGCTGCTGCCCACGGCCGAGCGGGGTGCGGCGCCAAGGCAGGTGGCGTCCCGGCCCCACGCGCGACCGCGGCCGTTCGTGGGCACACCCCTTCTCCCCCCATCTCCTCACCCACCTTGCACAGCCAGGACGGCGAAGGCGGAGAAGCAGAAACAAAGCAGGTCCTCCAGCGCCATGTAAGCCCCGCCGGGCGCCGGGTGCAGGGGCCGCCGCGGCCGCATCTAAGAGGGGAGCGCGCTCTCCCGCCGCCCCACCGCCATCTTGTGCGAGCGCCCCAGCCCCAGCCCCAGCCCCGCGCTGCCCGCCGGCGCCGCCGGGCCCCGCTGCCGGGGGGCGGCCCTGGCCTGCCGCTGCTCCGCCTTTGTCAGCGGGTTCGCCGGCCGAGGCGACGGGGGCTCCTCCCGCCCTCTTCGGCAGCGCCGGGACCAACAGGTTGCTGCCAGCCCGCGGCGGGGGGAGCGGCCCCGTTTCCTGAGGGGAGGAAGCGGGGGCCGGGCAGCCGCGGCAGGTGCGGGGCTCCTCCGCCGGGCCGGAGAACGGGGCATTATAAACATCATGTGGTTTTTGTATTATTATTTTTACCCTTCCCTCTAGTTTGTGTTTGTTTGGTTGTTTTTTTTTTTTTTTTTTTTAGTTTTTGCCGCGGGTGAGCGTGGCGAACACCGCGCTGCTCCCAGCCATCGGCTTCTCCCCTCACGGTGCCCCGGCGGGACACACACACTCTGTCCCCTCAGGGCTGATGGCCGCCCTCCCGCTGCCCCTCTGACAGCCGGGGCAGCCCTGTGTCCGTGGGGAGGAGGTGAGGCAGCCGGGCAGCGGAGGCAAACAGACACCGGTGACCACATCCATCGGTTTGCAATCCCACTGGGGCTCACTTCGAAGCACAGCTCCTTCAGGCGTGTGGCATTCCTTGGGCTTTTCAGGTGTCAAAGTCCAGCCCACGCTTCTCGGCTGTCTTTAAAGCAAATAAAATACACGGCGCAGCCCGCACTCCATCACCACAGAGCAAGGCAGGACCCGTCTGCAAGCCAAGCCAAGCAGTTGGAAATGAGGCAGGGAGACGAAGGGCGCTGGAAGATGGAGACCGAGGCCGCTGCCTCCCCAGCTTGGCTGGGACCCAGACACAAAATCACACTGCACGTCTGCGTGTAAAGCCGCAGGTGCAGGTTTAGTCCTAAGAGCAAATGACACCAAGCCCTTCTTTCGGCAGCTGGCGCCGAGCAGAAGGCAACCGCATCTGGAGCAGGGCAGGAGGGGGTCTGCTTTGGCCTCCAAAGGGAGAAGAAGCTGCCCAACACACCGAGATGTTTTATCGCAGAGGTGTGGAATGCAGAGAGGGCTCCAGCTATGCAGAATATGAAAAAAGAAACCTTTTTAATCCAGACCCTCTTATTTATTAGCTTGTATAATGAACTATAAAAGCTTAAATGAAACCAGAAAGGCTGCGTGGTGAGAAGCAGGTTTCCCACGTGCATGAGTTATGCAACTGTGAGTTAGTACTTGGCACTATCGGCGCAGACCACAGACAAGCCCTCAGAGCCAGCAGCCCCCTGCTCTGGACAGGTGTGCAGGGAGGCTTTGCCCAACATCATGACCCTCCCGGCTAGGTGGGGACTCACCATGGACCTCGCTTGGGAAGAAGGGAGTAATAAGGCCACAGGAAATCCACCAACTCTGTTCCTGCATCATCCATACGCTTACCTCCCTGCAGAAAGAAAAGGGGATAGTAATAGCCACACTCCCTTCTGCACTACTCCAGTGTGGAGCTAAAGATTAACAACCTCCACAAACCCTCCTTTTTCTCTGGGCCTCTCCCACCTGCTCCTTTCTGCGTGAGGTGGTTTTAAAGGTGTTGTCAAATTGCTTTAATGAGGCTGTAGAGGAATGTCTTCTCATTGTGTCTGCCTGTGGTTTCCTTCAGATACACACCTGCCCCTTTTTCTGCAAATCCCAGACATTTCTCTCTCTCTTAAAGCAAGGAAACCTTTACCTAAAAGTCAGGCAAAATATTAATAATGGAAACTGCCTGTGGTCAGCAAAATACTGCATGCTCTGGCTAACAGCACCTGTCTGTGTTAAGGCATTGACCCAGCTCCCTGCCAACAGGTCAGGGTTAGAAGCAGGCACTTCCTAGAAATCAAAAGACCCAGGTCTAATTCTTTGTCTTTGCTCCCTACCTGATATTACAGTGTTACTCGACTCCTCTGTGGCACCTCTCTGTCTTCCTGCATGTCAGTGGAAACAGGAACTAAACCAGTATTTTGACAAACCCAAGCTTGCAACAGATGTATTCATTGAATATCTATCCCTGGGGGAAAAAAAAAAAAAAAAAAAAAGTTAGCAAAAAAGCAAAAAACAGCCCCTGAACTGTGAAAGCGCCAGTACCGTGACCCAGAGCAACAGCTCCTTTCCCACTGACAACACGTGTACTCTGTGACAGTAACACCAAGTCCCCCCCGTCCACCTGCATCGGCACAGACAAACTGAGCTCGCGACAACCAGCGTTTCCACAGGGTGACTCCTTCGCAGCTGAAGCCAACACCAGCTGATGTGTGCCGTTCGCAGGAGCCAGTCCTGTGGCTGCAGGGAGCCGTTCCTGGGGTCACAGCTCCCACACAGGCATTAGCTGCTTCAGCCACTGCTGGGATGCCCTGCGCTGCCTGAAATGACTTCTTGCGGTGTTCACAGAGGAAGGAGAGCCTGGAGAAAGAGCCACTTTGTAGATTCAGGAAGCATCAGATAACTCCCTGGCTGTAAGTCCATAAAGAACAAAGTAGCAGCAGACGTGCCAACAGAAGGGACATTCCTCCCCCAGACAATGGCATTTCTGCCCTAATACTTACAGCAAGCAAAAGCCCCCATTTATGTGCTGCACTCCCCAATGTTTCCGTCCCTGTCGGTGAGGAGTTTCTTTCTACCTTTTAATAGCTGCAAACCTCTGATACTTTGAGCTGAGAAAGCATGAATGGCAAAGAGTAGCAGCAGCAAGTGGCAGGTGCTTGTAGTTCAGCTTTTGTTCCCCTCTTTGGGAGACATCATTTCTGTGCTCCAAAAAAAAAAATCTTTGGTGAGTCAAGTATACGGTCAGTATATCGTACACACCTCTTCATTTGTATAAGATCCCAGCAATCCAGCAAAAGCTGCTATAAATTTATCTATCTCAGCAGGAGCTTTTCTCGTGCCACCAGCCTGGGCCAAGGGGGTTATCCATGCTTTTGAAAGGTTGATGTAGATGCAAGAGGCCTCAAAGCACAGCAGCACATGTTACAGAGTTATCTGAACCAGAATTTCTCCAGGCTCTGAGTTCAAATGCATGCTAAACAGCCCCTGTCCACTTCCAGCTGGCAGCTGTCGAATTCAGACTACCAGGATCCAGTTGTGCAAATTACTAAACAAATACAGGTAAAGAACAACACTTGCTCCCAAAAAAAGACCCCCTAAAATAAGAGAAACCCGAAGAACAGGGAAAAGCTGTTTCAGAGAGAAAGCAGTGAAGAACATGAAGATTCACAACACATTGCGTGTTTTTATTAAATAGGCAGTGCAGTATGGTCCCAGTTCTAGGTTCAGTCTGAATCCTACTGTTGAAAATGCTTTCTGGCTGCCTCCTGTGGGTAGGGGTTCAGAGCATTGGGAAGCTGTGGTCCACGGTCAGAGCGGTTTTAAATCAAATGAAAGAAATTGAAGTTAATTCAAAGTTAAGGGAGACAGCAACGTAAAGCAGAATAGCGATTTTTAAAATCATGATGAGGATATTCCTTATTCCAGGCAGAGGTTGCTTTATATTCTCTTAGTTTAATCCACTTCACACTGAAGAGGACTGTTTAAATTTGGAATAGGCACTTTTGCAGACTGAGCGTGCCCCTTCCGACCACTGATCAGGAACAGCAGCTCAGACACAAATCCCCAAGCTGCCAAACCCTATAGCTCTGAAGTTAGAGCTTGTTGAACCTTTTGTAGATGCACTTGGTTGAAAGCGCTTTCCTTCTCAGTGACAGCATCCCCCCCAGGGGTTAGCACCCTCCCGTTTGGCAGATATGAAGTGCTGCCCCCAGCTTACTCATCCCCCATCTCGCAGAGGGTCAGTGCCTGAGATGTGTTTGGGATCATGCTTAGGTTCTTTCTCTCCCAAGCAGCATTAAACTTCCCAGTCTCAAATACAGCCTTGCTCTGGTTTCTGACCACCTCTGATTCCAGACAGATCTGCAACACTGAGGTTAACATTCTGTGATGGATTTAAACTGCTTTAATTACGAAAAGTTGGCTGCTCTTTCCTTTGTGACGACATTAGTGCTTGAATGAGCCCAGAGCTGGACAGAGGAAATGATGGTGCTGAAAACTTAATTGGCAACAACAATAACAACAAAATCAGTCCCCTGCTCCAGCTCCCTGTGCAGTCACCTCAGAGTTAGTGCCAGCACAAGGAAAGCAATGGGAACGTACAGACAGAGGCACGAGGAAGCTTTCGATGGCAGCACAAAGCTGGATCAGCTCAAACTCCTCGCAGAACTGCAACCTCAGTCTTCCCAGGAAAGGAGTCTCTCAGGGACCTTTACCACCAGGACTCTCTTCGTTGCCAGACTTCTGGTCTGGCAGCAACTTCGGCGCTGGAGGGAACGTTGACTTCCAGACGAGAGAAGTGACGGTAGCCTCCTGTTCTGTATGTGTGAGCAATGCCAAACAGGAGCAGCTGGTTGCACATAATAACATGCATTGTGTAAGTGAGCAACACAATAAGCAATTTGCTCAACAACCCAGGGACATCAGGACAATTCTGTGTAACAGAGAAGAAAGAAAAGAGGAAAAAAACATGCGATGACCAAACCCTAAGGGAGCCTCAGTATACTACACATTCATTTCATTACGCTTGCTCTTATAAATATTTATTACACAGCCTATCTCATCATTCTTCCAGGAATGGGTGTTGTGTTATTGTTATACCCAGGGAGGGCTTTCCCTCTTCCTCCGGTCCTGCTGCAGGCGGTCGGCAGTTGCCAAAGATAGATAGGGAGCAAGAGTGTGACATTAATTATGGAAAATGCTACTTAAAATGGGGCTCAGGGGCAGATATTGGCAGGTGCATTGTTAGGAGAAAAACGAATGGAAGAGGAAAAGGCAGCAAGTAATGAGATTCGGAAACTTGTATTTAAAATACTTTCACGGTAAAAGGGATTTCTGCAAACAAGGGCCCTGGCCCCACAGCCAGAGCCATGAGTGAGCAGAGACTCTTGCACTCTGCAGAAACCTGCACGGATCCAGGATGAGGGGGTTTTGATTCAAACAAGTGCCAGGCTATGAAACAACAGTGAGGC